CCGATGTAGCAATGGCATGAACTCTTAGACTTCAAACATTTACAAACTCTATTTGAATTCCACAATAAATGGGTTGGTTGCACTATTAATATGAAAGGTACAAAAGTACTGACGTGGCCAGCAAAAGTGAGCTAAGGTATCTAGAAAAAGTAGATGAGGTGTCCAAGTTGCACTAATTGCAGTGGTTGAGTTGTCAGGTCTTCATTAATGCGACTGATGAGTCAACTGGTGAGGTGTTCTGGGCTTCATTAAAGTGACTGATGAGTCATCCAGGCAGCATTAATTGTGGCCGGTGAGGTGTTAGATGAGGTGGCATTGATGATGTCAGCGCACTTGCATTGTAGCTTGCGTAATTGATGACGTCATGTTTTGCGTCATCCTTGCATCATCAGGACATGTGTGCTGGATAATTTTACAGTCGTGCCATCCCATAAAATATTATTTTAATGTTCTATCATTTGACAATATGGGTTTTTCCAATACTGCTCAGATTGTCACTGCTTGTAAATGATTGGTTTTCCCAATTATTCAGCAATGTATCTCTAAAGATCTCGAGTCTCTCTTCAGCTTGATTGGTTAGATCAGAGGGGAGATCCATTAGTATTGTTGTAAGATACAGATTTAGATATTTTTCTAAATCTATATCTAGCTCTTCTTTGGCTGTGTAAGCTATCGGAAGGTCTGTAACAAACAGTCTTCTGCCGTTTATAAATTTGGCCATTCTTGATTCTTTAATAGCATTCAATTTTTTAGTGAATGCTGTCATACTTTTGACGGCATATTCAGCAACATCTAGATTTTTTATCTCCTTTACAGTAATGAGGTTTTTGTCAAAGATGTAAAAATTCATTTGCTCTATTTTTCTCGATTCCCAAATCTGGTATGGCTGGCATAATTTCTCTTTGGCAAACCATCCAGTGGTACTGGTTATGTCAAAGGTAAGGTGGTCATTGTGAGTCCCTGATTTGGATACTTTGTAGACCATGCTTTTGATAAAATTGGGAAGGGATTTGAGGGATAGGGACTGAAGGTGCTCAAATATGATTTTTCCAGTTAGGCCTCATTCCACAATCTCGCCATAATCGTAGTTTTGATTATAGTCGAGGTATAATACAACTTTCATGTTTTGGTGTGGGTCAAGATATCTGTATCCAAACTGACTTTTCAGGGGTTCTGGAAGTTTTAAAACATGACATCTGTCCACCATTTGGGATATTTTTGAAAATATGTCGCTAGGCAAGACTTGTTTAGCCTTTTCATAGAGATATGTTCTTTTGATTTTTTTCGAAAACTAGATTACCTGTCAAAAGAGAAGTCTTCATTCTAGGCCATTTGTTTAATGGATTGAAATATTTGAAATATTTTCTCTTTCAATTTTTCAAAATTTCGACTCTGTTTGATTATCAAGTCTGAGAGTGAACTCATGTGTTTTCGAAATTGGGCTTTGTTTCCTAGGTTTGGTTTTTCCATACTTGATTTAGTTCTTCATAAATATTGTTTGGAATATCGGGTTTTCTGAAAAAGCTAGCACATTGTTTAGTTTCTACAGGGTAATTTTGGTGAAGGTCTTTTGCAATTCTAAAACTTCTTTGTAGGAAATATTTTTTGGAATTTGGGTTTGAGCAAATTGGTTATTCGCTCTAGACCATTCGCTTCCCTCATTGTTTATGAGTGGCCGCTTTCCTTTGTTGACAGATCCTTGTTTAAGATTTTGTTTCTGACTATTGTCGGATCCTTGATTAGGATTTCGTCTTTGTCAGTCCATCTGACTGTTGACGGATCCTTGGTTAGGATTTTGTCTTTGTCTTTCTATTCTCCCTTCTCCGAAAATCAGCTACTATATTATTAGAACCTTTAATGAACTCAAAAAAGGTTCATTCATCTTATGCGTTAAGGGTTTTCCTCTCGCTTTTTATTGGACAAGAAGTCTTTGACAACTTTGTTATCTGTTTTGAACCACCTCATAAGATTATTGCTACTTTTCCTTTGAACCACCACATTTTGCTGTGCCATAGAAACACATAAGGTGTTGGCTATGTGGCATTTCAAGGCCTTAAAGCCAAGAGTCTTTCACTCAATGGGAGTTAGAGAGAGAGAGACTGAATCTAGGTGCTTGGCGCACTAGAGCCCAGATTCATATACTTCGAATATTTGAGGCATTGAGAGTATGTGTTTTGAGAGAGTGATCTCTCGTGGAGGTGTGAGGGTCACCTTCGAGTCAGAACTGTATTGATTAGAATGCCTCAAAGTTAATGCGATTAGCCAAGGCTTGGAGAATCCAATTGAGTATAATAGAACTCGAGTATTTAAAAGAGTATTGGCCTTGTATGGAATGGTCATGACTCATGGGACATGAGCCTATATCCTGACACGAGACCGTTCCATGGCATGTGCACTTTCCTGACACGAGATCGTTCCATGGCATGTGCACTTACAGTCAAGTCGCATGGGAAGTCACTCTTCCAAATGATATATCCGATATTGGAAGAGCTAGTGCAGATGTGCTTTGTGAGGATCCTTATAAATTGAGTAAAGAACATGTCCCACAAGGGTGCACCTAGAATCCATTGAGAACCAGATGATGGGAAGCTTTGATTCAACGATTTTGATGTGACCAATTATGTGTCCCTGCTATAGACTATGGAACATAGGTCCATTGGGTTAGCATGAGACACCGGTGGAATATTATTCCGGACTAGCCCAATGGAGTACTCCGTTACTTAGAATCAAACCCCGGAGATCTTAGATTACCCTTAGTCTGAGTTAATTTTAAAGAGAAATGATGTAAAAATGTTCATAGATACTTAAAATATTTATTGTGATTTTTGGAGAATTTTTGGGAATTTTTTTGATCGCCTAAAATGATTTTTTATTACTTGTTTGGACCTATTACCATATAAAGACAACCTTGTAAGTACCACATGGCATCCAAGTGGCCATAGGCTGGCCATGTGGCACCCCAAGGACCCACACGCTGATCACTGCCCATTTGGGCATTGATCCCAAGGTGTGGGGACCCCCTTGGGTTTTGGTCCTTTGTCTTGTTATGTTATGTTGTTTTGAGTTGTTATTTAAACTTGTTATGATTGTTGTATTATGTTATAACTAATAGTACCATTTAGTCACATGTCAATTAGGCTCTCACATGTGACAACCTTGGCATGTGTGCGGCCAAGTGAATTTGGTTTTGAATTTAAGATTGAATTTGAGTTTGAAATTCATTTCCATATTTTTGAATCTACTCACATGTGTGAAAGGGGACATTGGTTATCATTTGATTGGATTGAGAAGATAGATCTAAGTTTGTGATTGGTTTTCATAAAGAGATTTTTTTCGACACATGTGGGTTCCCCTTTTATTCTTTTACCCGTTGTCCTTTACAAATCTCTACTCTTATGTATTACTTAATAATAAGGGCAATGTTGCAAGTATTATTATGGATGAACTTGGAATTAAAATATGAAGTCAAGGACAAAAAGGGAATGTGTCTTGATTTAGGTTTATGGAGTGATAATCGTAATTAAATCATGAACTGATTTTGTGGTTGAATGAGGACCTAATGAAGTGTTTTTGAAAGTGTTTAAGCTTCCTTTTTGGATGAAATCCCCTTGAGTCAATTAACCACTCTTGTACTAACTAAGGGACAAAATTAAGTCCTTCAAAGGCCCGATTGTGGCCTGGGCATATGGGTTCGACACCTTGGCTTCCTAATTAGTTTTTGGCACTCTAATATCTCTGTTCTTATTGTTTAAAGTGACTGTAATCTCAGTGGGATACTGGGATCAGATGTGTTATGTTTTTTGTTTATGTGAAGAGAAAAGTGCATAGTTTGTAATTAATTGCCTTCAATTTGAGCTAGTTTAATTGGCATGTAATTTGCTGCTAGTTTAATTGGCCTGTAATTTGCCCCAGAAGGTGACTGTTTGAGAGTTTAGTTTAAGTGGTTGTCAGAGTCTTGAAGAGCTTATAAAATTGATTCATAGAGTTGTAATTGTGTCTTGGCTCACTTTGGGCAAGACTCTTTATTGGATAGGATCAAGCTTCCTTGATTTCCAGCTTGTTTTTAAAGTTTCTAGACTATGTACCACATCATAAGGTTTAGTGTATGACACCATACTGACTTAGATAAGCTCGATTAATTTCACATGTAGACTATGTACAACATCATAAGGTTTAGTGTATGACACCATACTGACTTAGATAAGCTCGATTAATTTCACATGTATCCCTCCATTATCCACTATCCTTTCTGAAAAAAATTGATGAATTCATATTAAGAATACACACACACACAGATATAGATAAATAGATAGATTAGATTAGATTAGATGATAGATTGGTAGATTAGATAGATTATATTTGATTAGGTTAGATAGGCAGGTAGATAGATTGATTAGAGAGAGAGAGAGAGAGAGAGAGAGAGAGAGGTAGGTAGTAGTAGTATATAGTAAGTAATAAGTAGTAGTACGTAACGTAAGTACTTACGTACGTACGTAGTAGTAGTAGTAGTGGACGGTACGTCCGACCTAA